TAATGGGAGTTGAGCACCTGCTCTGCAAAGAAAATAGACCCCTGTCTGTGAAAATAAATGTGTGCAGTATATTTTCCAGCTACAATGCTGAAATCAAACAACCAAAAATGTGTGCTATATAAACAAAGCATCATGTGGTCTACCTGAAAACACTGCTGTTTTATATTTTACCTCATTAGTCATACACCCCAAGATATTACTCAGACCAGCCATTTAAATGCAACAAAAAGGAAAAACTGGGGGGAAGGCACATGGACATAGTCAATCTGGTGATTTCAGTGAGCTCACGCACAATCCTCTGTTTACCCCTTCAGAAGTTCATAATAAATTGCATCAGTAAATCTGGATTCGGGCCATTCCTCTCTGCCATCATCTTAAAAGTCATGGAGGATAATTGTACATAATAGAGGAGGGCATGATCATGTGCCGAGACTCCCGGCGGCAGCTGCAGCCTCAGCTGGGACAGGAGATAAGGCAGACAGTTGTTAACCACCAGTGATACCCGAGTCCCTTTCTGCCTGGCTCTTCTGGTTGAGCGTCAGGTCTCAGAGGAAGCAGGTCTACACAGACTTAAATGGAGACATCTCCACTGGTAGTTACAGAAGTCTCTAATCAAGGAGTTCCTGACCATGGTGTGACAGTTGAGTGACAGAAAAAGGCTATCCCTCTCCACTACAAATGTAGTAGGCATCACAGAGATCTTTCCCCAAACTCTATTATATTTCCACTTAAAATTACAGTATGATCAAAACACAAGAATAGGGAGTGAATGAGAATATCCATGTGGTTTCAGCTGTTTTTCTGGGCCTCATGATGTTTTTAATCTACAGCCATTGCTATTCCCATTCAGCATTTTTTAAATAGTCCTAAGACATAAGTAAGTAAGAAGAAGATCATACAGTATGTACTACAAATGACCACATTTCGAAAAATTTCTCCTTTTATCTAACAGTCTAGGTCAAGGCCATAAATTTTCATTTCTGATTTGCATCATGAGTAGGATTAAGAGCAATACACTTGTGGAAAGACTGGCTACGTAATTTTGCGTGGGGGGTGGTGCAAAAATGAAAACGCGTGGTGCCTTGTGGAAGAATTTCATAACGGTTGCAAGACGGTGACAGCCAAGCACGAAGCCAAGCTGAGGTCGCCTCCGTGCGCAGCGCCTCTGAGGACGCACAGGTAACACAAGCATGAAGCATGAAGCGAGCCTCACTCTCAGAATCGGACCCTGGTGAGAGGGAGCCTGCTGCCCCCTCCCCTCTCCTCACATCAACCAGGGAGAAATGAACGTGAGGTGTCTTCCTGCAGACAGACACCTGTTCAATGTACTGAGGTCTCAAAGAAAATGGATTGACAAAGCGTACTCTAAAAACTACCATTTACTTTCTTGTACAGATTGTATCATAAAGCTTATTTAAAAGTGTTTCATCTTCATTCCTAGAGGGTTCCATAAAGCAAGATTTTTCATCCAAAGGCCAGCATGACCCTGGTGAGGGGTTCAGTTTTAATGGGGACCAGAGGACCAATTCTGAATACAGATAATGGTAGCACAGTCTACTGGCAATTTGGTCCTCAATGCCATATTTTTTCTCTTCCTTTATATTTTCTCCTTTTTAAACCACTTCCTGCTCAAACCCCTTCCCTCTTGTCAGCCATGCACCAGCTTTCGATTTGACCTCAAATTCTAAATGGGGCCAGTTTGCTGTGAAGACACTCTGTCTGGCTTTCTGCAGTTTAGGTGATTTGGAAGGCTGAGGACACACTGTTTCGAGGGTGCCCGTCTCTTGTACGTACAGCTAAGCTCTGTCAGTTCTAGGCTGGTGGACCAGACAGCAGTAATTACAATAATGGTGGCATTTGCCCATGAAGTGATCTACCATCTCTCAGAAGTGGACTTCAGCTAAGCTCCACTTCCCTTTCAGTACATGGAGACTCTATAGAGTTGGCCTTCAGAGATTTAGAATAGGGATTAGAGATGAGCAAAGAGAAAAGGACTTCTCCCCTTTCTCTTTCTCCAGAAATAAATATGAGCTAAATTTGTAAATAATACTTAGGGAAAAAAAAAAAAAACCTATAGTGAAGACAAAATTATGTTGTTAAGTCTGAGTTTTTCTGAGCTCTAGATTGCTTTGTGTATGGACTAAACCATACAGAAAAAAAAAAAAACCAAACTGTTCAAATGTATAAGCTTATCCTGATTTTTCGGTCATTCAGGGAAGGACTAGAAGATTATATAATATTACCTACTGTCAATAAAATAGTATATCCTTTTTTTTCCGGGTAGTGAATTTGTAGGGATAAACAACCCTACAAATTGTTTGGCCTATTATGTGTCACAGAGATTTTTCTATAGCCTGTCTAGACTCCAGACAATAGGCGAGACTGGCCTATAGTTGCAGACATTTCTATAGTCTGTAATATCACTTAGAAAAGTAAGAGCAATAATACAAAAATGAAAACCAGGCTGACCTGCCACTACGGCAGTAGAAATATGAGTATAACAACACTTTACAATTTAGGAATGATGATAGCAACCTAGAAAGAAGTTTTAGCAGCGACATATCAGCCAAAGCAACTTTTGCAAAATCATTTTTTCCTCCTAAAATATGACTCATATTTGAGTAATTCTGTCCGCAGGCTATAAAATCACTTTATTACAGAACATTCTGTGTAGATGTCACATTGTGTTTTCTTATTGCATAGGGATTGTGTGTGTGCATAGATGCATGTGTGTGCATGTATATTATGCATATATGTTATATATAGATAACAACACACACATGTACACAATAATTATATAAAATATCTGTGGCCAACATACAGACTTTTCAAAAATCTTTCTTGAAATAGACCAGATTGTTAAACTATTCTACTTTTCAACCCTCTTGGACAAAACAGTTACTGTTGCATATGATCTTAAGAGGGTTAAGTGACATTATGTATAAGAAGCAAAGGAGGTGGAGAAAAGAGTTTAAACTTCATCTACTTTCTGCCATTTCATCTCTGAGCATGTCTCCACATCTATTTCTCTCCCACAATAGCACTTGTTATAAACAAAAGAAAGAGAAAGAAAATAGAAAACTTGCTTTTTAAAAATATTCTTCTTGGGGCGCCTGGGTGGCTTAGTCGGTTAAGCGTCCGACTTTCGCTTAGGTCATGATCTCGCGGTTCGTGGGTTCGAGCCCCGCGTCGGGCTCTGTGCTGACTGCCAGCTCAGAGCCTGGAGCCTGTTTCAGTCTGTGACTCCCTCTCTCTCTGACCCTCCCCTGCTCACGCTGTCTCTCTCTCTCTCTCCTAGAAATAAATAAAACATTAAAAAAAATAAAATAAAATAAATAAAAATATTCTTCTTTGCTAGCTTTTTAATTTTCTAGTAAATGAACTAATGAAGAAGGTTTTTGTTGTGGCTTAGTTTTATTTTGATGAAGACGATGAAAAAGATGCATTGAATATAAGGAATAATCACTGAAGAAAATATTGCTATAAAATCATTGGCAGTATTTTTGATTCAGAGGGTATTCTCTTTCACAAAGACTCCAAACTACGTCAATAGTCACCAGACCATTTGTATCTTCACCACTGGGGATGAATATTAACAGAGTCCTTGTTGTTGTTGGGATGACTCAGCTGGTGGCATCAGTTGTAGTTAAGGGGCTGTCTAATGAAATAGATAACATGCAGCAAAACGGAGAGGTTTCTGTATGTTTTACTTAGGGGTGTACCTCCCAAAATAGAAAACTCCCATCTCAAACGTCCTTCAGTTTCTCTTTCTGGCTGAATTAAAAGCAACAACAACAACATCTAGTTGTTTCAACACAATCAACCCCACCGCACAGCAGTATATAAGAAACCATTCCAGTGTAGGACAAACCATCTGGGACTCTGGCAAATGTACAGAATGCCGACTGATGAAACCGTACAGAAGCCTTGTCAATGTGGTCAGCTAAGCCCATCCACCAGGCGGGCACAGAGTACTTCCTAGGTCCAGGCTGTTACACACACAACTGTGGTATGTGTTCCCCCTGGAATGCAAATGCTAGATTCATATTACACCAGAATAGTATTACACAACACTCTTGTTTTGTTTTGCTTGAAAGTTCAATATTTTCTTTGTCTTTAAGGAAAAAATTCTTTAACCTCATTGCAAATGAAAGCTTTTTGTCAACTTTCCCATTCAGTAAAAATAAACGGATACGTTTAAGTAAAATTGATTGATAATGTAATATTTCAATAAAGATAGTACAAAAATTTTAAGAGATTTATCTTACATACAAGATATATATTTTTGCCCTTTGATATGTGCCATGATGTTCAGGAATACCATATATAATGTAAGACATTATATATGTAATACAATGTATCTTCACCAGAGATATATATCTGGTAGAATAACTTTGAATATCATGAAAATAGTACAAATTCCAATTCACTTCAGCCTCTTTGATATATATACTGAGAAGCAAGCACAGCCTCATTTTTGGTTTACCTTATGTAGCTTTAATTGGCTACATTTTAACTAAAGAGTTAATAGTATACATTTTAACTGAATATAATGAAAACTGGACTTTTTGTTCCTTTCACAAATTCCAAATTCAATGCTCGCATGATGGATTGGACAAACTTTTCATTCTCGTGAAATTGGTGGGAAGTGCCATGCTTTCCCACAGGATGGGTGGGAATTCTACAGCTCTCTGAAAGAGGCTGGATCATTAACTAAAGTGGCCCATGCGTGGAGACAGAAAACCAAATTAGGCCCTAAGGAAGTCTTACCAAACTCCCACTGAAGTCAATGGAAATTTGCAAACGCACTTGAGAGGACTCTTGTGGCCCACAGGTCATGTCAGTAATTTCACTAGGTCTTTAAACTAGACACACAAGTCAAAAAAAAAAAAAAAGAAAAGAAAAGAAAAGAAAGAAAAAGAAGGAAGGAAAGAAGAAAAAAGGAAAAAAAAAAAAAAACAAAACAAAACACCCAAACCTGCAAACCAAAGAATATGTACCTCTCCAACATCGTAGATCCAAATTCGGCCTTCTGAGTCTCCAACGGCAACTTCTTTGCCGGCTTGAGCCCAGCGAACACGGTTTAGGGCAGAAGCCCCTTCGATGGCCACACTTGCTGTAGGGACCTGTCAAAGGGGTTACGACAGCAATAAAGAATCTCTGAATATGAATTTAGATACACAAATTTACCATGATATGTTTAAATGGGTGAGTCACCACTGCCTTCATGTGCATGAAGTAATATACGTCCCCTGCGCAGGGGTAAAAGGATTCATTGTTCTTAAATCATATGCTTCACTGAATTAAGGGGTAGAGAGGAGACATTTTAACAAAAAAAAAAAAAAAAAAAAAGAGGGAGAGCCTTTTTCCACAGTCAATGGGCAATGAGTGACAAATATTTCTCCAGATTATGCAGCATGTACATCCAATATACAAACACAGCCGCTAAATGTGATACTTCATGATCAGGTCATGATTTATGGATCAATGGAGAGAGATTTCAGGATTTACCAAGATTAGGGATACTATAAAAGGCAGGAAGGGGGGGGGTTATGGTGGAATAAAGGTCATATTAATGTGTGTCTTCAGGGAAAAAATATGTATAGATCCCTCAAAACGTCATCGGGAAGGTGATGATCAGAAGAAGAAGTTCAGGTGGAAAAGCTTCAAAACCTCAAATTCTCCTCCTTTGTTTTTCTTTTCTTTTTTCCTGTGTTCCCCCTTCCTGTCAGTACCAGGAGGGACAAAGCAGTCGCTAACCTTGGAAATGTCCCCAAGCTGACATCCTGATGGACTGCAGCCCCTATTTGTAGAAGAGGGCCTTCTGCCTCCTTTAACAAATACTGAAACCTGCCGATGCTGACAATTACTATCATACTTATTATTAAGATAAACTAGAGGTGCTGAAATGGACTCTGCGGTATTTGGGACAAGAACCATAGTATTAGGAAAAGGTTTTAGGGGGTCTACCCCTCTGCATCAACAGTTGTGTAAACTCTTTAAGTTTGGAAGTTTATACCTGATATAAAGATCACATCTCTGAGCCTTCTCCAAAAACATTGATTGGGAAATGACAACAGGCAATTAAAAAGCAAAAGAGTAAATGTCGAAACAAAAAGAAAAAAACAGAGTTAAAAGAGGGCCCTAGAGATCATCTCACGCCACTGTTTAAGACCTGTGTCTACTAAACAGGTCGTTTTTGGATGGAAACTCGACATGTACTGTGCCTCGGCTCTCCCGGCATTCTGCTATTCAGGGAATTGAAACCATCTGTTTATGTGAGATTATTGACCCAATACCTATCTTTAAAATAGCAATAAAGACCCCATCATATGTAAGAATCCATGTTTAAACTTAATCTTGAAATCAATAAAAATTCTTTTACCTGCTTAAATCACTGTATGTCAATTTTGAGCAAAAATGTAAAACGAAAGTCCCCAACTCATTTACTTTTTTTAAATACACAATTTCTACAATAAAGGTACCTGCTGTGCAAGCAGGAGCTTGAAATTTTAACCAAACCTCTCAAAGGCCAAAACAATGTGAATTTAGATGGGCCATAATTCTGTCAATATGCTTTATTATTAGTGTGCCTCTCAGAAAACAAATCTGAGATTCAGCCCTACAGTTTGCAGAGTTAGGTTTTAACACCATAAAAGATTGTACAGGGTCATACTTTATAAACCTGACTCTGTTCCATATCAGATTTTATCGATGAACAATCTCAAGAATTGAATACAAATGTTGAATCTTAATATGAATGTTAAAAAAAATCACTCAAAATAAACTGATTTCTGATACACTTTAACTTATGCTTACTACATTTTAAAGAATCTTATTTATTGAGAACTCAGTAATATAGCAAACTGGGACAATTACTATTTTAACCATTTAAAAATACCTTCATTTCAAATATTATAAATGGTAAAAAAAAAAAAAAAACTATCACAGCCTATTATCTGTGCTAAAAAGGTATCAAATGCATGGAGGAAATGATAAAATATATTTAATTAGTTTGACTCATAAGGACCTTTCAAAAGTTGATGAATCTGTAATGAAACGAATCCATATATTGACTCTGTCTCTCTTCTGTACTTTGCTTTTGCAGTTATTTTCATATTTTTTAAGGCTCAATCATTTTAATTACGAAGAGAGGATATCTATTGCCTAAGTTACTACATTGTGTGGAGGTGAGTGATATTCAGGTAGGTGAATATGAACTGCCCTCGTATAGGAGCAATTAGGGTAACTTGGTCTAAAAGTACAGTGATTTCAACAATAACAACAAAACCCACTGGGAACAGGGTCTCTCTTTCTCTCTCTCTTTTTCTCTTTCACACAAATCTAAATCCTAATCTCACAAACATTTGAAAAATCTTGTTCAACTTGATAGAGGGCAAAAATCATTTAAGAGTTTAAAAAAGTGTTCAGTTCTTTACCAGATTTGAATCAGACTCGACATTTCTACTATTATTCTGAAAGCAGAACTATGGCTACCATAAAACTAAGCAATTTGCATGCCCCGTAATGATTTTTAAAAAACATTTATCTACAAAACTCTTATGTGGTTGTCCCTTGATACCTAGAGAAAGAGAAGGGAAAAATTATATTTGGCAGTTAATTTCCTTCTTGACAATTTCATTGTTGACACATTAAGTCCATTTTACCTAAAAAGCAGACTACAAACAAAACAAGAATAGTTACATAGGAGCTACTAAGGCGGGGTAGAGCTCACTCCACTGCTTCGTAGTTGGGCATCACCTGAACATCGTTTCTACTAAATCTGATTTCTGATACAGGGGGTCTATTAAGCCAACCTGGAAAACGTGCGTCTTTTGGTTGCTTTAAGTGAATGAGTTTATCCTAGCAGATAGAAGCAACGTGATTTTAATCAACAGTGATGAAAGACTGGGAACCCATCACAATGTAGAATAACAGCATCTTTCTATGAAGAGCAATAATGTTAGGGACATTTCAACATCCAAAATGATGGGCATTGCATACATTCATGCCTTTTGCTTATTTTCAAAGATACTTCATCCCATGACTCTTATCTTTGTCACACAGTTCTTGTACCCAAAAGGAAAAAAAAAAAAAGACTTAAACTGAAATATTTGAAAATATAACTGTTTGTCAGTGGTCCGAGGTGCATATAATTTTGCAAGATAAAGAGGCTCCGTCATACCACCTGAGGGACATTACCCTGCCTCCTCCCACAGAAAATACTAGGGGGCCAGCTCCTCCTCAGATCCTCCAGCTATAGGCTTCCTAATTAAAAAGGCTGAGCTGCTTCCTGCTCAGAACACTTCAAAAGACGTTTCTCTGGTTCTCCGCTTGACATACAGTTTGCACGCTTGTTCTGCTTACCTGTCCCTTCTTATTTAGGAGAGGTGCCCTGAATCAGAACCTGGGAAGTGCTGAAGAGAACCTTCATTTGATTAAATCGAAGGACATTTAATATTCATGTTAAAAAAGACACAAGCCTCCTCCCCAGTAGCTGAGTTAACATCTCAGTAATGTTGAGGATGCGGGCAAAAGGAAAAATGCACATGGCAGAATTTTTAAGAACATAAATGTATGTAGCATAATTTTTAAAAAGAATACTTCCTTATTGTTAATTCCTTTTTTTTTTTTTTTTAGAAAAAAAGGGGGGTGCATTTTTCACTTCTCTACATGTGACATGTTGCAATCCCACTATTTTTTCAAACACTAAGTTTAACATACATGTTCAGAATGGCAAACTATTGTAAAAGCCTGCCTGTAAGTTGAGCATTTGAGATAAGGATTATTCACCTTGTAAAAATCAAATGGAGGATAGATCTAAACATAAACGGTCAACAGAATCATCTTTTCTGAATTTAAAATAGAAAGTGTACCATTAGCAAACACTGACAAACAACCCTTTTTAAAAGCTCAATTTCGAGTCAGCGTCCACAAAAGCTTACTTTTCCAAGTGCTTGCCAATAGAGTTATTTCAACACGGCTCTAAAGTATGCCAGTGTGTCCTTCCCCGCAGGGAAAGGCGTGAACACACGTCGTTTTGCTTTTTGCAAAGAAGGGTCGTCAATTGTCCAGGATCTGCCACGGTCTGGGGATGAAGTGAGATGAAATGATTTTGGGCCAGTGCATCTGCCAGGTCCCTTCAGAGCAGTCAAGCATGGGGGTCGGCAGCGCAGCTGCAGTTGGAGGGTCAGTCCAAAAAAAGGCCGCGGAGGAGAGAGAGGGGGAGACGGAGAGAGGCCGGCTGCGCCCTCCTCCCAGCCCTCCCGCCCCGGCGCCTGCGTCGCCGCTCACCTCGGTGTCATTGTTGAGGTTCCAGAGGTCCAGGCGCCCCATCCCGTCCACGCAGGCAAAGAGCGCGGGATGCACGGGGGACCACATGACATCGTACACATAGTCTGCATTGTCTTCAAAGGAGTAGAGCGGCTTGTTGTGCTGTAAAGCAGAGAGACCGTGAAGACTTTGTGGCGCTGCCGCTGCCTCGGGCTGTCTAGCGAGCCTAATTAAAAACTTTGCACATTCACAAAGTGTCATAAAACTTCCCGAGATGAAAGTCCTCGAAAAGGTGAACCGCAGCTTTAATGTGACTAGAACTGTCCAGTGGCATAAATAAATACCGGGGGGCCAGGGTGGGTGGGTGGGAAGGGGGGGACTCTTAAGGGGCTGGGGGCTGGGGCCGGCGGGGGAGGCGGTTTCAGACACAGGCGTACGAGACATTCCATGCAGGTGGATCCGACTGCCCATTAGCTCGGAATTCTCGCCAGGCTACGCGCTGCGAGTCGCTCGGAGCCCGGACCCAACCGCGTTCGGCCTGCGGGGATCAGACCCGCGGGGATGCCCTGGAAGCCCCCGCTTGGCCCCGCGGCCCCGGACCCTTTGCATGGAAGGCAACGCCTGCCACCTCGTGGCCTTTTTCGGTAGCTGCAAGTCTGTTTCCAGGCCAACTCCAGGCCAAATTCATACTTTTAATGGTTCCTTTGCGGCGGGAATGGGAACACATATTTTGGAGGGATTTCTGTCGCTCTTTTGGGAGGTTAAAAATCTCGCCGTTCTAAAACCTTAGTTTCTCTGCCTCGTCAGGTGGACTGGCGTGGCTCAACGTAGAATCCCTGAACCTTCACAGAAGATGAACCACATTTTCTAGATCGCCCAGTAGCCATCAGCCCTGAAATTGGTGTTTTGGGGGAAAGCATTAACACCCCCCCCACCCCCACTGCATACAAATGCTTCTACTCCAGAGGGATACAATAAATTAAAATGGCACTCTTGATTTCCAGTGAATATTGTCACATCAAAATAGCACAGAAGTCAGAGGCAAGTTTGAAAGTACACCAGAAATAAAACGTAATTGGACTTCATGAATTATTCATTCCATCTGGCTTGTCTTATTCTAATTTCTGCATAATGGCTTTACTAATCCCTGATCAATTAATGTAAAATGAAATTTAAATGATAATGAAAGCCCTAGAGATAAAAGAAATTAAGTATTCTTATATCCTCTGACAGAAATCTAAACAATGGGAGTTTTTTTCCACAATGTCTTCTTCATCCAGTCAGCTGTCTGTATTCTCTTCCCCAGTTCGGCTAAATGCCTGTGCAGGCCAGAGGAATAAGATCAAAAAACATAAAACACAATATGAACAATCGAATCCTTTATGCATAGAATGTGCAAAGAATGTTTCTGTAGGTAACAGCTCCGGGTGTTCGAGTGAACACCCAACGTGTAGGGTTAGCAAGACTAAAATGCACAGAAAGCACTTGCTGAAATGAAAGTGAGAAAAATCGGTGAGAAAACAAAAACCTAGAGCAAAGATTTCTTAGGGTAGTAACTGTAAGTGATTTCTCTTTCCATGAATTATATTGCTTTGGCATTGCTCAGAAATGAACGCGATTCTAATACTATTATAGCAACACAGAAGATTTTAGATGGGCCATTGTGCATGCAGGGGGTAGACAGTAGACGTGTGAGATGTGCTGTATTTGAAAGAAGTGTCTAATGGGAGAGTGATTTGAAAAAGAACATATGATATTGAGACCTCAGAAAGAATTAAATGGCCATCAGCCTTACATTTTTGTATTTTAATATTTTATAACTCTTTTATGCCAGAATGTTTATCGTATACCATGCTTGCATTGTGATTTCAAGGTAAAGTTAGTTGCCAATTTGCTATTTATGAATAAATAGCTTCTTTCTTCCTCTTGTGCTTTGGACGAGGTGATTCAAACCTCCTTCTCCAGAGGATCTGAATATCCAATGACACCTTAAAAAGGCATGATTTTATCATTTTCCCCTTATTGAGATGGAGTGGTCCTTCACCGACCACTTGTGAATATTAAATTCTACCTCGTAGTAAAAGACTATTCTGCCCTATATTCTTGATTTGATAGCCAGCCAGTCATTATTTGTTAAACAACATGAATGACACATTTTTCTTAAAGTCAAAGGGTGGAAAAGACTTACACATGGTTAACAAAGTTGACCCTCAGGATCCTCTCTCAATAACCCAGCTGATAGAACTGAGTAGAGGTCTAGATATAGACTTACACGTACAGATAGACATTAAACACAGATGATATCTACAATCCTTGTTTTGATCAATTATAAAGCCATCCAACCTTCAACAGCCATTTTCTAGAAAGCTGATATTATTTGATAGATTAGTTCTTCCAGTAAATTACTCTGTTAATCTCTATTTTGCTTCTTTCCTTTTTTTCTTTTAGTTGCTGCTTCCTAATCAAAATTGTAATATATCCTGGAGACTTCACTTTTCAAACATCTGGAAATAGCAGCCATTGTTCATGTTACCAAAATCCAATTTTCTCACGTTTTATAGTATTGTATTGAAATGCTATTACTGTCTAGGTTTTTCTCCAGTTTCCATATTACCCCAACCTCTAAGACTGAAACTTCCATTTTATTCAAAACTTCATTTTAATCACTGGCACATTATTCTAGGCTACAGTGTGTGCATGTTTAGGGGAAGGAAGAAGGGCATATATTTTCCAAGGGCTTTGTTTTAACCTTGATAGATTCACAGGTTGGGAAGGCCTTGGTCAGACGGAACCCATTATCAGGGTACCAAGTGGACTGACAGCCAGGAACCACTAGTTCCCAAGTACAGTGTGGTGTGAGCTGTAGGCATGAGCTAACGGCCCTCTTACGTCCTTAGGCAGTGCTATTTTGAATATTAATTGTACTTTTTTTGATCAAGGAATTCTTCTCTTTTATTAGGGGCTCAAAACGGTAATCTGAAAACCTCATTAAGAATTTGGTGATGAGGGGCACCTGGCTGGCTGAGTTGGTTAAGCATCCAACTTTGGCTCAGGTCATGATCTCATGGTTCATGGGTTCCAGCCCCACCGCGTGGGGCCCCGCATGGGATAGCTCAGAGCCTGCAGCCTGCTTCAGATTCTGTGTCTCCTTCTCTCTCTGACCCTCCCCTGCTCACATTGTATCTCTCTCTCTCAAAAATAAATAAAACATAAACTTTTTTTTAAAAAAAATTTGGTGATGAGGGTACTTGCTGTGATGAGCACTGGGTGATGTATGAAAGTGCGAATCACTATATTGTACACCTGAAACTAATATTGTAGTGTATGTTAACTAACTGGAATTAAAATAGAAACTTGAAATTTTTTTTGCCTCGAATGCTAACTATAAAGCACCTTAGAGTAGATAAATATATCATGAAATACCAACATTTTCTGTAGCAAAAGCTTCAGGATCTAAAGATTCTGTTTTCGAAGTTTGAAACATAAACGTTTGGATCTACAAAACTGTCATAGCTTTATCACCAGTTTTAGAATACTACAAATTTTGAAAAGGTACACAGAGTGTGGGGACAGATCTGACCAATGATTTCTGAGGAGGATCCAGTAATTGCATTTGTGTATATTAAAGCTACAGAAGCTTGATGATTTTAAATATATACTCTGCAAAATACTCGAGGCCATCTAATAAACTAAAGATGGCTTCACAGCACGTTACTCTAGAAAGTGTTTTTCAAAACCATCAAACTTCATGAGACAAAAACCTCTTCACCTGTGTGTCTCCATTCCCAATGCCGTGTTTAGTATCAGCACACAGTTAAAGAAGAAAGACAAGAAAACTGCACTGTTCCCTGACATCTTGCATGTGGGACAGACACAAGCGAGTGAAATAAAGCCACGACACCCTGTGCTTTAGACAGGTTTCCAGGGCTGTGCCAGAAGTCCAAAAATATCCAGACACAGATCAGCTTGACGTTCACGTCCCGACTCTCAGAGCAGAGAAGCAGGCGACCCGTCGCCTCCCAGCCAGACACGCAGGGCAGGGAAGGGTAAATTGTTGGGTGTTCGTTGTGCTTGACTCTACACACACATTGTCTAATTTAATCCGCATAAAATCTCTGTAAGGTAGACGGTATTTACAGAAAAGAAAATTATAGTTCGGGAAAGTTGGTAGCTTTCTCAAGGCCATGAAGGTTGTAAGCGGTAGAGGTGGATCCAGTTCTCTGGTTTTCCTCGCTGTTTAAGCACATCTTTTATTTGAGGGAACCATGTGATCTCTATAGGACATAGCAACGGTCTTCAGTCTTCACAGCAAATGCAACAGCTCTGTTACCTGTCATTCCATTCAGCTTAACCAATATATACTAACCACATGCTGTGTAACTTGTAGAAAGGGTTAAAAAAAACAACCACCTCACAGAAGTTTGTTTTATTTCCTGAGTAGATTATGAATAATCCTGAAGATGTTATCCATACAATTCCAGGCATCCTTAGCACCTTTTGATACCAGTAGAAATTTTTTTTCTCGAAAAAAAAAAAAAAATGGGAATAGGATGGAAAAGCCCTCTTGCCGGCAGGGATTAACAGGAGGCCATGCATTAGAGAATATAATGAAATGATGCCAGGAGGTGGAGATCTGATTTCCAGCTCACCAAATGTCTATATAGCTTCAAGTGAGGGCCTACAATTATACAATCTAAAAGCTGAGGATAGCACAGGGCATGTGGGCCGGAAAGGGCAATAGGGAAAAGGGGACACAAAACTACAGACCTTGGAAAATTTAATTTAACAGCTTTGGACCTTAGTTTGGACCATCTATAAGATGGGAGGTAGGAGCGACTGACCGCAGGAGTTCGTGCCGGCTTTCTAGGATTCTGTTCTGCAATAAGGACTGACTGGAATAAAGCTTGCAAAAGTCTTTTTTAGAAAGAGTTATTCAAAGAAAAACATCATAATTAAAGCCATCTTACTTGATACTCTGTGAAATCTGTATCAGTGATTTTTAGAAATTTTTTATTTCATAAAAATATACATATAAAAAATGTACCAGTGTGGCTTTTGGTAAAACACTGGACATTATGAAAACAATAATGAGTCTCTTATTTGACCAACTAAAGAAGGAATAATGGGTATTACATTTACACGAGAGAAGCAAGTGTGAACTC